CCTGCAACTTTACAAGGCGCAGGTTCGGCCTCACATGGAATAGTGTTCCCATCTCTGGGCTGGGGCTCCCCAGTGCCAGCTTCTTCCACTTGACCGCATCCAGCGCAGAGCGGCTCGAATCGTCGACGACCGAGTCCTTTCCGATCGGCTCGACTCATTGGCACTGCGAAGAGATGTTGCATCTCTTAGCATTTTCTTTCGCATTTACCATGGGGAGTGCTCTGAGAAATTGTTCGGATTAATCCCAGCCGCCAAATTTCACGAACGCACATTGCGGCAGAACTCCCGATACCATCCACACCATCTGGATGATTGGCGGTCCACCACTGTGCGATTTAGAAGATGTTTTCTTCCTCGCACAACTTCCTTGTGGAATAGTTTACCACCAGCGATTTTTCCGGACCGATACGACTTAGGGACCTTCAAGAAAAGAGCCTACTCCTTTTTAAAAGGCCGGCAACGCATCTGCAATTCCCCTGGTGTTGCGGTTGTTCATGGGCAGCGGTAGTCACTTACCATTAGGTGAGCCGTATGCTCGTTTGCCCCCTCTCCTATAAAAAAAAAAAAAGCTTATATTTAGTACTTTTAATGAGGGCTAATAATTTTCTGCTCACCAGATGTCGCTAGTTGACACAGAGGTAAAGTTTTTTTGTTACAGAATGTAATTTAATTGAGAAATTGTTTTTTAATAAAAGTTTCACACTTTCTAGAGTATTACATTAATACACAAAACAATGCGTCAGTGCTTTGCTCTTTAATTTTTTGCACAATTTTAACTTTTTTTTAATTTTTCTACTTTTATGGATATCTGTGATTTGGTTTATTTATTTTTAATGTTATTAATATAAAATATAGCTTAAAAGTACAAAAAGAAACAATAACTTTTACATTTTCCGAACAAATTAACTTCCCCACTATGAAATCTGTCAAATATTATACCATACTTTCTAGTGACCCTGATGACAGAAAAAGTCGTAGCCCTCATTGAAAAAAATTGGGTGGGTACTTTTAATTATGGGGGAAATTACGTCACTTTATTATGTATCCGTTCATTAAAACCGACCTAAAAACGGGAGCGTTTTAAATTTGGTTATCCACAAGATGATATAATGTGTATTAACACAGATTAACAAATTAGTTAATTTATTAACCGATTATATGACTTTTTATTGAAAGATTGTAATTCCATATTCATTATATTTTAACCAGATTCGAAGCTAATTGAAGTTGGTTTATATTTTTGTTTTCTTATTATTAGCTTGAAGTACAAATTTTAACGGTCACTATACCCCTTTGAGTGGAATATGGAATATCATAATCTCAACATCGTCTAAATTGTTATATTAAAAAATTCTTAGGGGCGAAACTTCTCAAATAATATACGGGATCACCCTTGAAGTATCCTATTTAATTAAAAAAAATCACGAAAATCGTTTCACAATCGATGAAGATATCGCGGAAAGTAAAGTAAAGTTTTTTAAAAAAAAATAAAAAAAAATATATAAAGTTAACAAAAGTAAAGTAAAGAGGCACAGGCCTCTTCTCATTTCTGACAGGGTTTTAGGGCAAGAAAATATCCGCCGCGCTGCCCGAATGCGTGTCGGCTGTTGGCGCATTGGGGCGTGTTTCTATATAGTTTGTGATTGGGGCAGCGGACAGCGGGCAGTTGGGTTGTGTGATAAACATACATCGAATTTTAAGCCTCCTCCTTTTTTGAAGTAGAAGAAGGCTAAAAATAGTAACGGGTAAATAACATTTTTATAGAAAAAGAAAATATTTGGGTTATTTAAAGTAATAACTTAATATTAAGTTATTTCAACTATATATGTACAATTTAACATGGGCCAATAGACGCTTTCACAGGTCGGAAATGACATCGACAGTTATAGACACAATTACCTCAATAAAATCGTACGAGGGTTCTTTTCGGCACAATCGATTCGGAAATGACTCTAATGACTTTAGCGCGCTTTTCTGTTGTATGGTGTTCTTATACGATGAGCTTGTAAAGTAGTTTATTAACACATTTTTTATGTGTCACGAGCACTATATATATGTAAATTGCAAATGAATAAACACCATTCCTCCTCATATCATAGGCCTCCCCCATAAATTGTCTCATGGGGGGAATCAACTTAAATTATTTTTTACTAATACTCGTATCATTCGGTTCGCGATCAACGGCTCGCAACGAATTTTACCAAGCTGCTGTACGCATTAAAAAAATACTTTGGCCATGGTAGAGCCACACTGCAGCGAATATGAATACAGCTTGAATGGGTCGGCTCTATCAGGAACTATTTCAATTCATGAAAGTTAAACTAGTAATACTTATACTTGATTTGTTAACAACTTAAAACATTTCTGATAATTATTACACGTGTGAAATATTAGTGATGTATATATATGTATGTATAGATGTGTATATATATTCAATCCGTAGCAATGTGTAGAGACGAACATTGACTTTAGTTTATAGCATAAGGCAAATTATTAAACATTTTTTCTTATTAATTCCTAAGTGCGCCAGTTGGACTCAATATATAAATAATATATGTAAGGAGTAGAGTCACAAACTATGTCTACAGAACGAATCTAGCGGCGGTGACCCGGGTTTCATGTTTACTGAGAACTGGGAAACCTTATTGTATTAATTATGTTTATTTATTATATTAAACTATATATAAGTATTGCCATTTTTTAGATGCCATGAGATTTTCCTGGCACTCTTACAAGGACTGTGGGGCGAGAAACAATATTATCGGTTCTCTTTCGTCGTCCCTATAGACAATTCGGAGACTTTATTTTTAATAATGAGCGTGATAAACAAGCATACAGTCCACCTGATGGTAAGTGAATGCTGTGGCTTATATAGGTACATCACATTTGAGTACTAAGATAGAATGTCTCGTTTCCAGTAAAAAGGGTCTCCGGTTCTCTACACTCACCATACAAAACACAGCAGCATTTAAGCTGCTATTTTACACTGGAGTTCTGTGAAAGCGTTGTCCTACACCGGTGGAGCCAACTCATTCGTGTTACAATTACAAACATAATATACCTGCAGCGTAGCTCAACGAAAAAAAATCAGTAAAGGTTACTATTCATGATCAAAGGCCACACACAGCGGTTTAAGACATTAGCGTCCAGTATTGTAATGTCAATTAAACACAATGAGTAAATGAGGACAGCTGCTCGAATGAAGTCGCGTGAATGTACCAACATTATAACAGAGCGAAAATTGTTTGAAACATAATTCTTGATGCGTGGGCGATGCAAATACCCGGGAAACAATGATCGTGTCTTTAACTACATTGGTCAGTGTGGCAATGTTGTTGTTGCATTTTGTAATTATTTCGTCTGTCATATTATATGTATCTAATATGGGTTTACTCCTTAGCTAATATGCGAAATAATTTCTAAGTAAAATCTGAAGATCAAGTATTGATTTTTATTACCCTTTTATTAATATACGATTTATTTTATTTTTTGTTAAGTATTTGTATTTGTCCAAATATTTAATTTATAATAAATAAATTACATAAATCATAACTATAAGTTATACTGTCTATGGTTTACTTTGCTTATATAATTATTAAAACAATAGTGTTTTTATTATTTATAGTTTTAAGAAATCAATATATTCGTTAAAATTTATTCTTCACTTAAAATGTTAATTATTCTACGAAAGGTCTTCTCTTAGATAGTATAAGAACATTCTCAGTGGGTTTAAATTCTAGGTGGTCCTCGCTGATCCAGGAGACCTTTATTTCCGGGAGGTCGAGCTCAATGATGCATTAGCGAAACAACATAACTGCAAAGACATTATAAAGTCGCAGTCTGTACTGGGAGATAATGATTTACGACATGTTAATGCAAATCTATGTACCTCTAAGAGTCAATGTTTACGTCACGTTGGGAAGTATTCGAAGCGAGCCGCGCGTCGCCTCCGGTGGCGCACGTTTTATACCGAAGCAATCCTATAGTAATTAAATAAGAAACTACCTACTACATATTTACTACTAACTTTACATATTTTAAGAATGAAATATAATAATTTTAATTCAATATAGATTGTTCGTTATTATTTATTGAAAGTCAATTTTTATTTAATTTACCATTGGTTCGAAAAATACCTCTGTCCTGAGAAAAACCAGCAAAGGACCAGCGAGATTATTTATACTCCTTATATTATAAATATACTCCTATATGATTAATAATAAGTAGGTACGCTCTGCCTATTGTATAAAATCGTTAAAAGCGAAATTTTTTGAATTTAATTTGGAAAATCATTATGTAAATATATATGATTAATAAAAAGTACACTTATCACTGCCTATTGTATAAAATCATTAAAAGCGAAAATTTAAGATAGATAAACACATAGATGAACAACTATGTGTTTATCAATCTTCAAAAAACTTCTTAATTTCATAAAAGAAAATCCAACTTTAAGTAATTTTTTTTAAATAATGGTATTGTTATCGAAAACCACAATTCATTCCTTTTTTCTGTCATCTAGCAGGTATTGTAAATTATTACCACATCCAAATGCAAACGAACTACTAATAAACCACTATTTTCACTTTATTTTCCAATGGACCTTTAACCTTGTGTAACGATTACAAAGTTTTATCTAAAACGTTAGCTAAACGTTAAATTAATTAAGCTTAGTATAAATTTAAAAAACTTGTTTATATATATTATGGTTTTTCAATATGAGATTTATCAATTATATACATCAATATAAATAAAAAATATTTCTTATCGCAAAGATTAATATCGATAACTTGTAGGGTGAAAGGTGATTTCACCTATTGTAATTGTCATATTATTTTATTTTTTTACTCTCAAGGTATCATACATCATGTTGCATATGTCAAACGTAGCATTATTTAAAAGTCACTACACAAAAAAAATGTTTATATCAATCAAGAATCGTCGTGTACAGTTTAATCAGACGGAATGTAGATAAAGTGAGCACCAAACAATTTACTCACCGTGATGGTGTCATAGATGCCATTCTCGTGGTTGCGTAAAGGTGTGGTCGTAGTGGCTGCGGGTGCACCTACAAGGGCGGTTGCTCGACTCGGCGGAGGCGATAGCGACAGCGGATCGCCATTGCGTGTCCATGTTCTGTGGATTTGCCAACTGGTGTCCGTAAACCGAGCTTTGTCCTGCAGAACGAGGATAAAAATTGTCGGTAATTAATTTAGGACAAACATTAAAATTTAAATAAAAATAACATAATAATGTAACATAATCAGTGTCGATATATTATATTTGTTTTATATTCTGTTATTTGTTATTTTACAAATCCATCAGGAATGAACTATGAGAAACATAGGTAGGTACTAAACAGTACGCCTTAAAACATAAATATCCTAATCATTTTAATATTTTCAACTGGTATTTACACAATTTTATAATTTTTAATTAATAAATCGTGATTCTTGCTGAGAATCGTCCATATTTGTATTTACAAGAAAATTTGACCGTTGCAAATTGAATTACTGTAAAATCGGCGCCTATGTAATTAGGTACGCTATTACCGAGTCTACCACAACGTCACGGACAATTTAAAGAGCCTCGCGGCTGACAAAGCTTTCAAATCCGGGTTGAATGTTAATGAACAATATTGACGTGTTAAACTCGACTCTAAGGCCTTTCCTTCACTGGCCGGTAGGATAACGATCCAACATTTGCTCAGCATAAAGACCCGATGTGAGTGCACAATTAACAATAGGTATAGATTTCATAATTATTCGACGCGACTCGGCAGCTACGACTTATCCACCCTTGACATCAAGTTAGTATCGTATTGCTATTGACATTTTTAAATCGTCTAAATTCCCTTGCTTGCATAGTCAATTATTATCTATTCAGTTTAGTTTTATGTATGATTGGGTGTCTGTAAGTGTATATTATTATTTGAGTAAGCAAAATCACGTCGTCGTCTTCGCTTGACGAAGATAATGTTACATGTTTAAAACGCCCCCCTATACAAGATAAAATTCTAATGTCCGGTTAACTTTATTACTAAAAAAAACCACTGCTGTTGTACGGAGCAACTCGGAGAGCAGCTTAAATGGCGTAAGTTTAGATACGCTAAGTTACCTTCCGCACAGTAAAAAAAAAATCGCCAGTATTACCGCTAATGATTCGTCGGTCGCAGATCGACCAGTTGTTTTGCATTCTCGTCACGTCCGAACCTTCGTAGCTGGACTTCTTTGTAATATAAACAGCGATTGCGCAGGATAGTGACTACAGGCAATCTAAAAAGGAGTTGTACACGTTGCGACTAGGTAACCTAATGACATAATTGCTGTTGAAGCCCTCGGGTTAACTCTGCATCCGCAATATAGATGACATTTATCAGTTTATGCCTGTAGGTTATTTTATTATTAGGTTACCCAGCTGTCTCAACTACAGATAGTAAATATGTTCGACAAGTTTACTTAAGTTATTTGACACTAATCTTGGTGTAATACACTAATTGTTATGTGCAGTTTTAAGTGCTACTATGTGCTCGGCGAAGAAGGAATACGTGGTGAAGGAAACTGTACGTTTGGGGAATTATAATATTTTGCTGACACGTGAATTCGGTCAACATGCACTGCAGCAGCGCAGGAAACTAATAGCTTCCTATCCCTCTCAGATATGAAAGAAGGTCTGTGCCACGTGCGCCTGGTAGGGTGGTATTAGATGTAGCCATTTTTAAATTTTATAGTCTTATTCATCAATAGTAAAGTTTCATCACACTTGCTTGTATTTTAAGTTGCATTGCACCCGCAATTTGGCACGTAATCTATGAAGAAGCCTATTTACCAGAATTGCCAGTTTTAAATAGATTATTATTCTTTATATGTGTAATTTATAATCTGTAATGCTAATAAAATTCGCTATAATACTAAATTTACTTTAACTGAATTATTTCCGCTATATTTACTAGTGCCATTCATAACATAAAAAAGCCGATCTGCCACAAAAGGTACAAAAACTTATAGTTTCAAAATACAAATGAATAATATTTTTTAAGTCTGTACTCTTTTTTACCCTCTCTGAAATTAATTATGCTTAAATATTGCTTAAAAAATGTTGGCAACCCTACTCGGACTCCGCTACTAAAGTCTAATACTCTATTGTGCGTAATAAAAACGACCTCGCCAAAGGTTGCCAAAGGTGAGAAGCAAACTAATTGCGTCGTCCCAATCTAATGACAGGTATTGCCACATCTCCCTTGTACCAATTGTTTCTAGTTCTAACAGGTGGTATAGAAAAAAAAATTAGAAGACAGTCAGTTTCGTCTATAACCTACGAGCGTATACAGCACGGGTCAAGGGTCCCGGTTTATAACGGGTCCTTAATTGTTTTACATTTATGCCCATATGTTTTAATTTAAACATATAAGGTCATAAAAGTTTTTTTTACAATCTATATACAAGTTGGCGGGCTTCACACGTCTTCAAAATAGATTTATTTCTCACACATGCAAATTGTCTAGCAATTAAGTTAGAATGCATGTTAGCCTTGGTTGCTCAGTATTTTTTTAACGTATAATAAAATCAATATAACAAATATTATATTCTATCATTATTATATTATTTGGGGTATGTGTATAGTTTTCTCATCTGGTTGAGCTGTATAAATACTATATAAATGAAAATTATAAATATGTGTAAACATAAATCTATATCAATAAAGTATTACATTATTTTATTATTATTATTTTGACCTTTCTAAAAGGCTCCTAAACTTTAGTTGACCTAGATGATGCCCCATGCATGGTTTAAGATGTCCTGGAAACAATGTTCGGATGTTGCCAATGGTGATAATTCCGACTTAATTTTTTCTGCCGACTTCCAAAAAGGAGACGGTACTCAATTCGATTGTATGTTTTTTTATGTGTGTTACCTAACCACACTCTTTACTGGGTGAACCGACTTCGATGATTCTTTTTTTATTTGAAAGCTGGTACTTCTCGTGTGGTCCGATATGAATTTGATCAAGGTTAGACCAATAATTTTTGAGTTATTTTTAATAACTTATATTGAAGTCGGCTGTACAAAATTTTTAATTTTTAATTATTCATAAAACTGAAGTGACAAACGAATTTACAGTCTACCGGATAGTACGTGACTACTGCACCACATGGCAGTCTGCAACCAACTTCAACCAAAGAAGGCTACACATGCGTAGTCACCTCTGAGGGAGTCCTGAAGATGGAATGCCACACAGCTTATAATAATACTGGCTCTCTATACCCTTGGATTGGAGCCCAATAGTGCAAGCACTGCTTATTGGCGGCAAAAATAGTTAAGAGGGTGGTACCTAACCAGAAAGAGTTTCTGGCAGAAAAGGATTCAATATGTTATAATTATCATCATCATCATCCATTACTCTAACGCCTCTTTGTAAGGCTGTGGATAAGAGGTAACGAAATTTCTCGCTTTTCGTTCGGCGCAGTCGCTAGTCTTTCACGGGAACAAGCTGCTTCGTGACATATTTGAGTAAGATTTGAGGATTTAGTGACTCTGCGAATCTTTACGATACCTATAATATAATTGTATCAATGCATATGTACCAATAAAATATACTCGTAAAACTAAAAATGTTGACGTTTCAAGGCAATGGATTCGCTGGTAACACGCCTACAAAACATTCACGCAAGTTTTAAAGTGTTCCAAGTAATAATATCCTGGATAGCGAAGGTATATCGAATCGAAGGATATTTTGATCTCCGGCTCCACTGGAATGAGTAAACGTCTCATAGTGGTATTGGTCAGTCTATTTGTTAATACGATGATAAAAGTCATGACAGTTGATATTAGAATGCAAGCAAGATTTATGAGGTGTACATTACGTATAAAAGGGAATAAAGTGAACCGCTGTTTAACAATACTTTTTATTTCTTTCTTATTACCTTTTTGGAATGAATTACCTAATAAATAATAATGTTAATAATAAATAAAAAATAATGAAGTTAGCTGGGGTCAGTAATGGTAACACTTAATTAGGTTTGTTTTCCTAAAGTGGGGACACTGAAAGTTTTGCACTTCTAGCAAAACTTTGGAATACTATACTCTGGAATGTTATATCTTTTTAAAACGTAAGAAACCATTGATTTATATGTACTACGTACTAGAGAAGTTATTCCAAACAATAAATTGAAGAAAACCGGCGCATGACCCATCTATAAGGAGATTCAGGGACATTTGTGTGTTTTAAAAAAAACTGTTGTTGAAGTACGATCACGGAGATTCAAATGTTGTGCGGCAGGAGATGAAACAGTCCACGCTTCATTTTGGAAAGAAAGCAAGCCTGTGTGTAGGCGATAGCAAATCAACAAGATATACAAGAGGCGTGGGCAAAAAAAGTAATTGCTTTTTTCTCCCAGGCGGATCCTGTCTGCACGATCCCACTTGATGAGCAAAAGAAAGCTAATGCCCAGTGGTACACCAACATTTCTTTGCCTAGTTTCTATGAAAGTTGCTGAAAAACGACCAAGAAGTCGCATCCTATTGCACCATGACAATGCTTCGGCGCACACCTCGAACAAGACAAAGTCACTTTAGCTTCTGAAAAGGCGAAGCTTGTGACCCAACCCGCACACAATCCAGACCTTGCACCATGACTTCTTTATTTCACCACTACCTATTTTATCTTCATAAAATCAAAGATTTTATTACAGGTTTGAAATTTACAAAGCCAGAAAAGGCCGTGATAGTTTTCAACTAGCACGTGAAAAACCAATGGTCCTCATGTTATTAAAAATGGTATGAAAGAATGAAACAAATTTCAAAATCTACTTTGAAAAGCAGTAAATAAGATATCAGTTTACATAAAAACTGTTTTATTTATGAGTTACGCAAAATGTTCAGTGTACTCTACGAACTATATTAATATTTTATTATTTGGTGTGGGGATATTTGTAATTTCTATTCGTCTTGTCGGTTGTTAGTAATATATGTACTACCCGTGCGGTTAAAGAATGGGATTGGAAATGGCGTCGCCTCTATTCACCTCTTGCTCGCACACTGTGGCTATTTATACTCACACCGCCGGTAAAGACTCCAAAAAAAAAAATACATTGCGATATGCGTTTTTCGTACGTTCTATAACTTCAGTTCAACTTGTCATTGGAATCAATAAAATGCCGAAAACTAAAAAAAATCAG